TCAACCAAGGACATGCACAAGGCCGGGCTTAAGTTGTCTGAACAACAGCCCATTTGTCCTCTTTGGTTGCGTTTGCTGATGTGGCTGCATGAATAAGAGTAGCCCAACAAATTAAACAAATTAAATCACCATATTGTTCAAACTGTTATTACATTTTGAATTGTTTTCATCACATTATTTCATCTCCCAATAATGTTTATATTATGCTATCATATGAACCAGTCTTAGCTAGCTAACTAGCTGGTTAGCATACAGGCAGTTGGCTACATGCAAGCTCCTGCAGCATTAGACTGTATTCTGTGACACGATGCAAATGTGACAAGTTGTGCATTGTTCTGAAGCATATGTGAAGATTTGTCCACCATTGGTTCTACTATTCGTCGGGGGGTTGCCGCAACAGCCCCCTCAAAATATCTGTGCACGTCCCTGATCTCAACAACTATTAGATTAATTATCAGGAACATTCACTTTCCCCTTCAGGATGAATTTTAATAACTTTGGAGATCCCTTAACTTTTCCTCTTTTGCCATCATCAGGCCAAAACTTCAATTTCAGTCTTTTGTCAAAAGAAAATGTTCTTTTCAATTGCACTGTGTTATATTTGGCTGGGACTTCCCTGCCCTTCCATGATCATACATGGGAAGCCTAAGGCAAGGAGAGTAGCAGCAAAGACATAACAGAGCAGGCATCAGTGACAACAGAAATTACATTGATTACAGTAAATCAGATACAGCATCAAAGGAGGTGCTGGGGTGGAGGCGGGTTGCAAAGCGGCTTGAAGGGGAAGCAACAAGGGAAGCAAATCAGCTTAAATAAGGCACCCTGTATGATATCAACCAATTGGACTCTTGAAGGGAATCAGCTGAACCATCAGTTGATTGGGTTGTTTATGATCAGCTGATATAGCTGTGACTGTGAGCTGAGCTTGACTTTGTCACCTGCCTGAACTAAATCTAACCACTGTGCCTGGAGTACAGTCTCACAGAGTCATGGCCATAGTCTTGTTATGCACTACATGATTAATCCTGAAAATAATCAGCAGATTAATCAATAATGAAAATATCCTAGAGTCCTACTGCACAAGCTTGCCAGAATTGGAAAATGGTAACTGATATAATATGGTTGTTTTAAGGAAACCGATGACTTGTGTCTGCTCGCTACCTTGCAAGCCCATCCTGTGTGTACACAAATAAACAAACACACCTGACACTGCAGTGAGCATACTGATACTGGTACCATAAAACCATTTATAGATGTACACAGATCCAGAAACACACACAGTCACAGAAGAATTATTCTGCCTTTACTGTTTTTCTATCACATCCCTTTAAATTCACACATGACATCGGGGCAGTGGGTCATGAGGTGAGTTAACCAATAAGTCTGCAGCATTAATGTAATATGACCTTCTCTCTATATTTCAGCAAAGTACTTTAACCTACACTCATACATTATGATGCGCAGAGTCGCAGCCCTGATAAGATATTCACTCGGGGCATGTGACGGCAGGGGCAGGTCCCCGCTGATTCAGAACATTGTCAGCTCATGATTTATGTGTATAAATGAATCCTGAAATATATCAGTGAGGTAATAAGGTATTTGGCCTCCTGTTTATAGGGAGCCATCATTTATAGCCAGCAGAGTGGCGAGAACCACGGCTGCTCCTCGCTGGTGGTCAAGGGTTACCATGGGGACAGAGGAGACCATCAGGAGCTACCAAGGGAGTCGTCACATTGTCTGTTTATGGTGTCCTGGACGTTCCTGGTTGGGTGGAATGAAGGAGAACCTGTAAGGTAAGCTGACAGGATGGTTTTATATTGTGCCTATAGTATAGTTAAGAGCTGAGAGCAGCCATGGACAGACTTTGAGACTACAGGCCCCTGGGTATAGACGTATAGAAGCAGTCGCCCTACATAGCAGGGACACACTGTCTGACTATAAAGAGACATAATTTTCTCTCTCTGTCTTTGTAGTCATTTTGTGTCTGCAGTTATTTTGTGTCCCTGCAGTCATTTTGTGTGTCTTTATAGTCATTTTGTGTGTCTTTATAGTCATTTGATTGGATTTCCAAGAAGAAATGTTAACTATCACAAACAGAAGCTCCCCAAGGGTGTCAGGCAGCCCCCGAGGTGTGCCTGGTAGGCCTGTTAAATAATCAATCCATGGCTGTGGCTACTGTGGCACCTTGTCAAATCAATGATTTAAGCTTTCAGCACATCACGGACACTTGCCTCTTACAGTGACAAATACTGGCACTTTCTCACTCCTGTAAAGACTCTGGATGCTATGCTCTGACAACACAATCCCTCAGTGATAAAACCCTTCTCTGGCCATCATTTCCTCGGCGATAACACCCGCTGCACCTCACACCACTGGTTTTATGAGACTTTCTGTTGTTTTGAGAGAGCAGCTGAGCTCATTCTTTTTCATGTTGTGCTGCACAACAGCAGATAACAATCTGGCTGCCATGTGAAGTGTGAGATAAATGTGAGACTCGGCTCACGATGCAAACTTGTCCAGAAGAGTGGAGAGACAGAAAAGAAACTTGTAGTGATCCAGTCTGAATAGTGCTCTCCATCTGTATAATTGGTTGAAATGAGCTATAAGGGCCACCTGCTGACTGTGTCATTCAGAGCTCTTTTACATGGAAAATTGTGCCCAATGTCACTCAGCAGAGAAAGAGGCACTTACAGAAAGAGCGTGAGCATAACCATCAGCTCCAGTCTACCTTTCAGAAATGTTACACAATGACACACAACAAAGACTATATTAAGTGATATTCCAGATACATTTTTATACATATCTAATTTCAGTGTCCATCAGTCCCCACAATAAAGGTTTTAACAGGACATTTCAGATAATAGCTGCGTTATATACTGTCAGTTTAAAGCTGCGTGTGAAAGGGGTGGTCCCTCATAATGACAAATAAAGGAGCTTTTGAGCATCTTTTTTCTGGGAAGAAGCCCTGAAATATCCACAGGACACTACCTGCTCAGCAACAAACAGACACAGTTAGCAACAGACACATTTATTTGCCCCAGGAGTTGGTGGAGACCAAAAACAGAGCTGAAAAGAGAGTGATGATTGGACTTGTCCCAGGTGACACAGGGGGTCAGCGAGATTTATTATCAAAAGAGCCATTTTTGGCCCCAAAAACACACATATGAGCCAAATAGTGCTAATTTCTTGCTGCAGATCAAGCATACCGGTATGCCAGCAGCATTGGTGGGGAAAGCAAATAAATCTGTTCATGCACTATTAAATTCTTTATTTCCCTCCTAGACTTCAAATCTATAGCTTCACCAACTAGGGAGACTCAAGAGTAGTAGCCACCAGTACTAAGGTTTGGGGCAAAATACAGAGGAAAAGCATCCAGGTCTGGACAAAACGTATGTCGTAGTTGCCAAAGTATTTTTTTAAATGTACTAGGTGTGTAATGGCTAAACATTTTTACCACTGAATAAAGTAAGAAATACTTTAGCCAATAACAATTGATACATTAAAATGTTAAATAAATGACAAAACCACAGGGAGCCACTGAAGAGGGGCTAAAGAGCCACATGAGGCTCCGGAGCTGTAGGTTGCCAACCCCTGCTCTAGGAAAAACAATTCCCACAGTGTTAAAGGTTTGCCCACAACTTTGAAATAAAAATTATACACTATACTATTATACTTTCAAATGGTCGATCGGTATCTTCCTGAACATAAACCATATTTACAGAACCCTATATGCTCTAAATTTACAATTTATTCTTCTACTTACACACTCTAGCAATTAACTGCCAGCTGGGTCGTGTTTGAACACCCCCACATCTGCTATATGCTTCTTTATATTCTGTTTTATTGTGCTATAACTAATCATTATTGCAATCACTTATGTACTATATCTTACAGTTGAAGGTCACAGGCTTGATAAATATATGTCAAAATGAATAATCAACTGGAGTCCGGTAGTCTGGACTTATTAGGAGCAGTTTCACTCAACAGTCATTAGCAACAGCTTCAAAAGGGCCTAATTACTTCAATGACCAGACGGGAACCTTGTTTTTTTTTTTTTAACCGGTGCATATTTACCAAGGACATATACTGAGAATACTTTTTTTATAAATCTTTGTCAGATATACATCACTCAAGGAAACCTTAATTTTTGTTAGCTTTAAACACCTCCACTGAAACAGTTTCTGAATGAACTATCAATAACACCTGTCCAGGGAAAGGAGGGCAATCTACCAATTCTATTTTCTCTTGCTAATCTGGGGGATTGACTTTATAACCTTTTTTTCCACACTAACTTCTGTCCACTGCCATCCCATTACACCTTAAAATAAACACTCTAGAGGTCACTGCTTGTTTTAGCTTTCACCAATTATCCCCACAGATATTAATAAGTGTTAATAAGGTTTTTCCCAACCCATGTTATGCCTTTAAGTATTTATGCACAGCACCCACCTATTGACGACAGCAAATCTTCCAACCTATTTCTTTATAAATCTCAATGTGGTTAAGGTTACCCACAAGTACGACAAAAATCCCCATTGCTGTTCCATAAATCTGTCACACTCTCCTCTCTCTCGGCCTGTCCCCTGTCCCCCACAGACATCTGCACGGTCTGCAGTCAATTATATCTCATAACCTTCAAAAAGCCTGCATGGAAGGCAGTAGAGACCCATATCTTTATCTGATCTTTATCCTTCCTCAGCAGCAGGAACGGTGGAGCTGTCAGCTCAAACCTTCAGTTCACCTCCCCGAAACCAACGAGAGACAACAACCACCACATCTGTGTGTAGAGCAGCATGTTTAATGCAAAACACAATGTCATCATACATGCTGGTTTGTCAGTGGGTTTAAAAACTACTTAAAGTCAATCTACATATGTGTGCGAAGCTCATCTTATAGAGTTATTTTAGTGAAACATTAAAAATATTCATGGATCACATGAATGACAAATGCTCGATGAAGAAAGACAGATAAAGTATGAAACAACAAAAGGCACAAGGAAGCCTTGAGGAAAACATGACTTTTTATTGTATACCATGAGAACGTTTTTCATTTTTTCTCTCTAATAACTGGTCACTCGTTGTTTCCCCCTCTGCTCTATTCCTATGCCAGTGAGTCCAGAAGATATTAGCCATCCCCTGCCCAGCAATCAGACCACAACAGGAGGCACAAAGGGATTCAGTCATAGTCCACCTCCATCCATCCTCACATTTCTTTCTTAATGCAGATTCCTCCTGACCTCTTATCCAGCTCCTTTCCCTCTTCAGAAACCACAACCCTGACTCTGTCTTCTTGCTATCAGCACAGATCATTACACAAGCTTAAGGGAGCGGTCCTCCTAAAGTTAAACCAGGACACAAACCCAAAGGACAAACATCAAACGGCTGTCTTTATCTGCTCGGTTCTCTTTTCATCCTCCTCTCCTAAACGTGCTTGAGAGACATGAGTTCAGCAACATATGGACTGACTCAGTCTCAAGGTCTCTGCAGTATCACGGTTCATCCTCTGACAGGGCTGGGAAGAGCAAGATAGAGCTTTGATTGCCACTGGCCAAGTCAGTCCAGTGATCCTTTAGAAGAAAAAGCAAGATCAATCTCTCTCCCATCTCTGATTTATTCATCTTAGTCCTTTCTTTCTGTCTGCCCATCTGTCACCCGAAGTACCCGACTCTTGAGGAGGTCCAGTTTATCGTTTGCCAGAGCTTCCCTCAGGGCGCTGAAGAACCCGTGATAGTGGGCTGTATTGTGGATCATGAGCAGGACTCCAGCCAGTAGCTCATTGGTCACCAGCAGGTGGTGTAGGTATGCCCTCTGGTGGTTCTTACAGCAGTAGCAGCCACACCCCTCCACCAGGGGCCTGAAGTCGCCCTGGTACCTGGATAGAAGTTCAAAGAAAGTATAAGTTAAAGTAGAATTCATGAACAGTAAATGTTCAACAAATACAGTATATGAAAGTGAGGATTCTGCAAGCACTGCTGCTTCTAAAACCCTTTGGGGGTTAGCTGTCACACACCTCTTGTCTTTGAGATTGATCTCAAAGGATGTCATCTGTGTTTGATCATCCAGATTAAGATCTCCATTCTGTTGCGTCTCGCCCGGCGTCTCCTTCTCTCTGTCCAGCTCCAGCACTGCCAGAATGTACATACATTTCATTAATCCCAACACATCACCAACTACTCCCACCATAATCTCATTTAGCAGGAAACTCGACCCTATATACAGAACTGTAATAACAGTGCTTTATCAGCCCAACAGCCAGAGTAGAAACGGGAGCGCATACGGTAGCTTGACCCCTTTTAAACACTGCTGTGTCCTATATTCTCCCCACCGTTACAATATAATTACTTACTGACTATGTTCTGACTACCAACGCCGGTCTCACACAGATTGGTGTTCTCTGCAAGGTGACATCACTTGAGGACAGAGAAAAGTTACTCGAGTTGACCAAAAAAAAACGTCTTTTATCAAGAGGGCTGGTTTTGTTTGCAAGAGGGTTCACAAAACAATCTGGCCGGTTACAGACACAAGGGATGTGACGAAGATGACAAACACAGGGTGGAAAGGGGAAAGAAAGTGGTCCATAGCAATGCATCTGATTAAAGATTAAAAAGGCAAGAATAGAGCAAAATGGGTTTAGCGCAAACTGAAACGGGTGAAGCAGAGTGCAGCGAAGTGTATAAACAAAGCATAAAAAGCAAATTATTATGTGTGTGTGTGTGGTGCGTGCGTGCGTGCGTGTGTGTGTGTGTGTGGCTTAAGGAAGGGGTGATAAGCATGAGAATAAAAAGGACAAAATGAGGCTTGACCAAAGCTAATAAGATGTAAAGGAGTGAGAAGTATCTTGTGCTGAAGAGCAACTCTGCCTTACAAAAGGAAAAGAGCAGTAACTATTGAAGTTGGAAAAAGAGGTTTTGAAGCTTGGACATTGAAAGACTACAAAGAAAACAACTGTTGTTTCAACTTCTGTAACTTTGTCTTTTATTAAATATATTTAATTAAGCGATTTAAAGATAGCTCAACCACATCAAATCATGTGAATTCCACTGGAGTGAGACGCTGCAGAGACAGCGGTTACTGCTACTCTGATAAGCTATCTTCCTCCATTATGATTACATTTAGCTACTGCCTTATTTATATAAAATTAGCTTTAGCTAAGTCCTTGAGCACTCAGGTTAGCCATAACTATCCAGAATGCTGCAGGGTTTTTTGGCCTACTTATTACAAATGCTGTTTGCTCCCCAAAAATTCCACAATTAAACAGATTCCATTTTTTTTTCTTTCCTTTTTCAATTTTTTTGGGACTTTCCCTTAATTAGAGAGGACAGCTGTAGATAGATGACACGCAGCAAAGGGCCACAGGTCAGATTTGGACCCATGGCGGCTGCAGCAAGGTCTTTGTACATGGGGCGCCGGTTCTACCAGGTGAGCTATCAGGGCGCCCCAAACAGATCCCAGTTTTCGACTTTAACCAAATTCGTAGTTACTGCGTTTTGGCTCAGTAGAGCAGAACAGGTGGACGAAGTGCAGTAAGGGGAGAAAGGAAAGATTGGAGGATAAAAACAATTGGTCTAAAGATGGAGAAAGGAAGATGAAAACTTTGAGTGGGTGAGCAGGAAGGTGGTGAATTAGCATATGGTCTGCTGTGTCAAAAAAGAACCTTAACTGGGAAGTGAGGGCGTTGAAACCCCCGCCCTCCCCATGGGGGCTTGTAATTGGCTGAGAGGGGAATTAGAATTTCTCTTCAGGTTTGACACCATCACTGCTCTCACCTCCACTGAACTCCATTACGCTCCCTGTGCAGAATCGATTAGTGCTGTCTGACACTAGATGCTGCCGGATAGCAAACTTCACTCTCTCTGTCATACGGGTTCAACACAACTTTTTAATTAAGCACATAGTCCTCAGCAGCCACACATTTCCCACAGCTCTTGTCATAACACTTCTTTAGCGTTTCACTTGGGAAAACAATCGGAACGACAGGCCCGGACTTAATTGTTACCTTCCTGGAGCTGCTATGATATACATTGATTTCATTTCACCGGCTGAATTTCTTTCTACCCAATTATTTCACCTGACCTGGGGCTAGAGAATACACAGCAGCCACTACACAAAAACAAACAAGCTCGCACACACATCATTTCAATAATCATTAGGTCCATCTCAGATTTTAATGCAAACTAAATCCCTCATCATACCACATGCATCCACATGCATCCATAGAGACACACACGTCTTTCCTATTCATTATGTGGAACCTGGCTAACACCAAATTAAAAGTAGATGAAGGGCTGTTTGTTAACTGAAGACACTTTGCAAGGCCTTTACGCTGAGCCATTTAAGTTGGGTTAAAGATGGAGTAATTACACAAATTCTCTGTAGAGCCTCTCTGCTGTGAAATGAATAGCTCTTTATATTTTATGTAAAAACATCTGTAAGAATTTTCTACTCAACATCAGATGCCCCTCCTATAGAAATTAACATAAGCCTGCGAGGCTGATTATTGGCCATCTTTAATCACCACTTCAGTGCTTTCATCAATTAGCTATAACATCAAAGCGCTGCCCATTCTCCACTTTTTAACATTCATACTTTCCGTTCACTTCATATCCACATATTTACGACAAGATATATGTTCTCATTGCTTCGTCCACATCCCTTTTAAGCACACGAATGATGCGAAGTAAACTATTGTGGTAAGCTGAATCATATTTCTCACCACAATCACATTTCAGTCTCATCCAAAAGCATCTAGCGAAACAGACCCCCTACCCAAACTCCCAAATTATATAGTGACATGTCAGTTTGCTTTAGGCATATATTGCTCTTGTTCTTGAAGAGAATTGCCAATGTTTTCCATCTTTTTGGAGTAATTTCCTTCATCACCTATTTCACCTCATCACGCATTTTAATAAGTCATTTTCTGGCTCTGGGCAAGGTTGCTCTACCTGAAATGTGATTTTGTTTGACAAGAACAGAATTATTAAAATAAAACGAATAGGTGCTGCCAAAATCCAAATGTCTCATTTTACACACCCACCCCCCCAAATTGTTCCCTTTTTAATTCAGAATTAAACCTCTGTGTGCTTTGATTTAAAGGCTACATGTCAACTTACATAAGTTGACTGCCTGAAAAGAACAAGAAAGCCGTTCTTTCAGGCTGTAATATGAGCACTGCCGAGTATGAAACAATGCGTTCATTTGTAATGGGAATCCTTAAGCAGTACGGAGTGAAGGAGGGGTTGATGCAACTCATAAGGGAATTTTAGAACAGCCGAAAGTTAACAAGCTTGATCTACACGTTACAACATCAGAATGAGGCAGAGAAACACAATAAAAGTAAAATCATTAATAAAATAGGCGGTTTTATTTTTATTAATGGGGTTTGCTGCTAAGGCACCACATATATAAATTAATAGATCAATATCTATTGATCTTAAGTTAAACTTTCTTTCATTACTTTGGTTTAGCTTTGTCTGAGATATTGATTCACCCTCTAAATGATGCAATTTTAAATCAGAAGGATGTACCAAAACTATTCCTCAGAGAGAGAGAGAAAAAAAACCTATTACTGAAGTACTCTTCAGCACAGCTATTCACCACACCTGCAGGGGGCGCTCTACCTGCGCGCTCCGGGTCCGGAGACACGTCAAAGCTGAAGCAGAGAGCGCAGCCTCGCTCTGTCACCTGGAAGGGAAAGAAACTCTCAAACAGGTCCACACCGGCATCCACGCACTCCAGCACCTCATCAGGTCGTCCGACGCCCTGCAGCAGTCTGAGAGTCACGCACAAACACACAGACACAAGCCAGTGAATTAAAAACTAAATAAACATTAATGTAACACACACACAAACATCTACAACATACAACAACACACCGGCTGCATTTCTCTACCCTGCAACAACATGTGAACCCTGGTACGTTTGTGCTTTCGTTCTTCCTGGGCATTCAGTTAACTGTCTCCCTCTGACTCTCTGCCTGCGGGCGTCAAGGTCAAGCCCAATTTAGCATTTGATAATGACTCCACTCCTCTTTCCAGTAGGAAGCGGCATCTCCTAACAGCCAGAACTACCAGCATGGACGGTGTCCCACGGTATCTGTGATGAGCCCGTTCACAAGCAAACTCAGCAACGCTCACAGGGAGCTCGTGGATACAGACTGCTGCTCGTCAAAGGGCCTCTCTCTCAGACTCAGAGCTACTGCCAGAGGAGAGGAGTACTCATGTGGGATAGTCCCATGTTGAAGAGCCTCTGAAAGGCGACGGGCTTATGTAGTTCGGAGAACCAGAAAGTCTGTCCTTGTGCCTTTAAAAAAGGACTTTACTTTGCCAGATTAATTGGTTTGTTGTTGGTCTGGTTGGAGACATTTTCTCCAGAAGAAGCCATTTATTATCAAACAGTATTGAGTGTTTTAATCTTAATTGAAGATATTGGGCTGCAACAAACAATTTTCATTAAATTAATCTGTAAATTTTTTTTTTACAATTATTATATTAATTTGTTTGTTTGCATAAAATGACAAAAGTCCAGCAGTCCAAAGCACAAAGATATTTAATTTATAATGACATTGAAGAAGCTGGAACCTGAAAATTAGTTTTTGCTTGAAAAATGGCAAACGATTAACTGATAATCAAAATTTTTGCAGCATAATTTATGTTGATTGATTAATTAAATAATCTTTTCAGCTTTAATTAAATTAAGAATGTGAATCAGAAGGAAGCAACCAACTCCACGTATTTGTCAGATTATTAAAAAGAAGCAAAGGCAAAGCTAAATTTTGTCCTACAACAGTTTCTGCTTTAGCATTACATATGTATGTGCGAGCGGCGTGTTTTAACTCAATACATCGTGCTCTCTTTCCTGCCTGTCATATGACATTATCACAAGGAAAAACCTGTCACTCATAATGAAGTCCTTTTTGTTTAATTATGCTCATTTCCAGCTCTATATTCTCAGTCTAGAGTTGCTTTGCATGATTCCCTTCAAAAACATCCTTATTTATCTTATACTGGCCCTTCATGCAGCCCCTCAGTTCTTTCGTCTGAAACAAGGCTTCTCTTTAATCTACAATGTAATTACATCTCTAGTACAGAAGCTTTGGACGTTGGCTAGTCACATAAAGTTGCAAAAGACATTGAAAAAGTTCATTCAGAGCAGTTTGAATTCTGAGATTTTTGCTCACAGGGTTTACTTTCGACATACATTTACCTCATTAGTGGAGACTTTGGCCTTGTTTGACATCCAACATTGTAACATTATAAATATGACAGAAACAGAAAGGGAAAAGCATAATAAGTCCCCTTTAAAAGGACCAGTGTGTAGAATTTAGTGACAGATTGCAACTAAATGAACACTGCTCGCATCTCTATTTGAGATTACGGTGGCCTCAAAAGTTGCAAAAAGTGCAAAAGGTCTATGTAGTGTTTAGTTTGTTAATTCTGGGCTACTGTAGAACCATAGTGTTTTAACATGGCGGACTCCTGGAAGGTGACCTGTGGCTTCTGTAGTTAAAAAAACGGCTGATTGATGATTCCTATATTCAGATTATACACTAATAAAAACATACCTATGAATATTATATTCCATTTCCAACAATAACTCCTCTTAAATCTTACACACTGAACCTGTTAGCCAGGACAGTTGTTAGTGTCAACTGCATTTTTGTATGATAAATTCTGTATTTAAAATCGACAAAATGTGAAAAAACTGTCAACAGATAATGTTAAATTATTGTTGACACTGGTGCTGCGCTTTAAGGTCGTGCTGAGATAATGACTGCTGACAGTGTGGAGGGGTCGGGGGAGCACGGCAGAGCTGCTGGGTTTTCACTTGTAATCAATCAAGCTGGATAATTAACTGATTGAGCAGGACCCACCAACTGGGTCCACTCAGTCTCTGTATCATATTGTTTTGAACACAGACGGTATCAGTCACTACACTTTAAACTATACTGCTGCATTGGTTGGTTCATTTGTTAAATAGTAGAATTATTGTCCCATAGTTGTACACCTCCACCAACCAGTCAGGTAACAGTTTACATCCATGTCTGTCCAGACTCATATAATATATATGATGAACACAGAATAAAAAGGTATAGTAAGTAAAAATCTGTGTTTTTTAGCCGTGTTTGTAGTCTTTTTGTGTCTGTATGGATATACTGCAGAGCATAGGGCTGTTCATAAACCCTTGGACAAATACAAAGCATGCATTTGTGTTTCATCTTTCTTACTGAAGATAATGAATAACACAGAGGGTGCTGTTCATCCGCTGTGCCTCCTTTTGTTGCAGTTTATTTAATGTCTTCAGTGCCTTCTTTTCAATTAAACACTGGGGAAGAGTGTACGATTACTGGGGGCAAAAAAATCTTCTCCTTACAACTGTGATCAATAAACACATTCATTTCTCACACAGAGACAAACAGGGCTGACCTGGGTTTGTCCTCAGGCAGCTCCTTGGTCACAGCAGTGATGAGCTGGGTTCTCAGAGCCCAGTCCATGGAGCCCGTCTGGAGGCCATCCAAGCAGAATCCTGCTACAGGCCTCTTGGCGGTCTCCCTGGCTGAGCGCACCCTCTCTTCCAGGATGTCTCCCCCCTCCACCACCCCGAACACCTCAACTCCTTCCAACTCCTGGCAACAACAGACAGTTTGGTGATTAAAAAGCTGATAGAAAGAAGACGGAAAGAAGTGCAATAAACAGAAAGAGACATGCTGAAACCTGACAAAACATAGATGTTAAGCAGATTCCCCTCCTTTTTCTAACAACACATGGTTAGAAAAGCGCAAAAAAGAAAAAAAAAAAGGGTTTTATTTTTCCCAGAGCCCATCTGGATTTTGATTTCGATGACTCAACATGAAGTTGACTGCACATCACAAAGAGGAACGACGCAGTGGGGGGGTGAGGCAGTGGAGCCTGGTAGCAATCAAGCAGCACACTCAGTACAACGTTGATGTCAAGAATTACCTGTAGTACGCTGTCAGTGCTGTTCGGATCTTTGCTCAAATTCATTCTACGCTTAACATTTATTGTGCCTATGGCTACTTTGGTTTGCAGCCAGGAAATAAAATACACAGAAGAGCACATATAATGCAACACTTAGCAAACACACTCAGGCAGTGAATGTACACATAAGATAAAACAATGCTAAAAAAAAAGACACAGAAAAACTAAATAATAAATAAACTACTTCTAATAAATTAAGCTCCAGATCTACTGGGACTAGAGCGATACAGTCAGAAAATATATTATCTCCTCTGAAGCATAACTGAGTCAACAATGTCACAGAACTCAAGACAATCAGCTTCACTCTGCTCTCTCTATCATGAAATTAACATTTCACTGCTTTAAAAAAAAAAAAAAAAAAGGCTGATTTCATTAGTCATGCTGGATTCTGAGCCATTGCACACCTACTGATAATGTATTTATCCACTGATAATGTATTCCTCCTAATCTCACTGTGTTTTCAGCCGTATCACAGCTGCACAGCGGCCCCCTGTGACAACAAAAAACACCAAGCATCAATCTTTGTCCTGTCTGCTTGTGCCGTGCATGACTGATTCAAAAATGTAAGAGCTCTGTGTCTGTGTGTGTGTGTTTAAACTGTTGTGTGTGTACCTGGGATTTTTGGTGCACCAGCAGACACTCATCCAAGTGGGCGAGAGTCCGATCCACCGACTTTCGAACCCTTTTGCGTGAGGTGTTGCTCTGCCACGTTTCTCCATCTGCCATGCTCTGGTACCAGTCTGGCTGCACGGCCCTCTGGAGAGTCATGAACTTGGCCACCGTCAGCTCTATCCGCCCACCGCTGCCCCACACGGACACCGTCTAGTAACAACCCAGAGAGCGAACTTTCATGTAAAATTTGACTCTGATAATTCTCTCTTTAAAGGAATAGTTCAGCATTGTGGGGCAAAAAATATATTCGCTTTCTTGCCATGAGTTACATGAAATCAATACCGATCTCACAGCAGCTGGTTAGCTTAGCTTAGCATAAAGACTGGAAACAGGGGAAAACAGCTAGCCTGTCTGAAGGTAACCAAAACCACCTACCAGCAGCGCTAACGCTCACTAATTGACAAAAATAAAGCATTTAAAAAGACAATAAATAAATAATTTGGTTTAATGGGGGTGTATGTGTGAGTATTTCTTGCGTGTTGATTTCCGGTGGTTGCCTAGCAACTGCTGGGCCAAGAAAAAAATCCAACACATAAACCCGCTCTAAAACCACAACGGAGCCAAGCTAGCGGTTTCCCCCCCGTTTTCAGTCTTTATGCAAAGCTAAGCTTTAACATGGCTTTATTACATGGCTGGTATGTATGTATTATACCAATATGTGGAATTAGAGGCTTGATCTCACCTTGTTTGTGGTGTAACCTGTTGGGCAGGGGGCCGCAGGGTCGTGAAGCGAGCAGTACAACACAGTATCATGAAGACCTGCACAAAGCACAAAACACAAATCAATGCACATCACTCACAGAGAACAAAACAGTCAGGAAAGGCAGAGCATGAAGCATGAAGGTGACAGAGTGAGACGCTTCATTACTGCACGTTAATGTGACCACTGAGTCTGGAGAGAGGAACGAGGTGTGGTCTTATCAGCAAACACAGCTGCAGCCAATGATCATAAACGTGAGAGAACAAAAGGCTTAATAGCAGCAAATGCTGTTATTACTTCTAATTATTCAATCAGGGCTCTTCCCTTCAGCACTGTATTAGTCCCCTGACAGTTTACAACAAGTGGTGCAACAGTGATTACATTTCTAATTTCAAATTTGGTTGCATGAGGCCGGGTAAAGCTTACAAACAGCTACTGTTGTACAGCAAGGCTGAACGAGGTCGTTTTTCTGGGGCATTTATATAAATATTACTCAGAACAGCACTACTTTTTCGTCAGGCTCTCATGGAGCTAATCAGCTTTTTAATATTGAACTCAGAATACTGTATATTTAGAAGCAATTTGCTTCGTCTTTACAATTCAGCCGGTGGTAATAATGTTCATATACCCTAAGCTCTCCAGAGTGAATCTGTGTGTATCGTGCATGTGTGACATTTACACCAATCAAGTCACACCAGCTTTAAGCCTGGCAGAGGTTCTTCTCATGTAGTTATTTAAAACATGACTAGAGGGTTAAATAACAATCACAGTGGAGCACGACAGCAACAAGGTTAATTCAACGTGGTTAAACAAACAGTCCCTTTACTCATCTACAGACTCCAACTTTGACATGGAGATGAGTGATTCTGATGTGATTTTATTGGGTTTAAAGACTCAAACAACTTCAGTCAAAGGACACAGAGTGTAAACACAGTAACAGTTCAACTGCTGTGTTTCTCAGCAGAGACTTCAGAAGCTGATTAAAGGGTAGGAGAAAAAGAAACTGGGAGAAAGATATTTACAATCACAACCTCTTTCAAGATCTGTAAATGCTCAGAAACATAGTAATTCAAAATCAAACTATGTAACGTGTGTGACTGTATTCACAAACTGATGTGAGGGATTTCCTAATAACACGTTTTTCTATTTCTACTATGAACTTGATTCATCTGCTAATACAGACCACAATCCTATACTGTTATTTCTCGCTCTTAAATACAAGAAAACATGATGACAAAGGCACTCCACAAAGGTAGTCGATGACAATATCACACAGACTGGAACAGCTACTGGATGAACCTCGTTATGAGACTGTTTTTGTCATCTGTTGCTTTCAAGGTCCAGAGGACGCTTAAAATCTCAACCTAAAAGGCGGTTAATGAACTATTTGGATCAACACCCTTTGCTTAAAATAGCATTTCAGCACTGAGTGGCTACTGTTATGCTTTAATAATATATTTAAATCAATCAATATTGAGTAACAGATTACAAACACTAATCTGCAGTTGACTGTATTTACTTGCACATATTTAAGCTATTTCAACAATTTTATAAAAATGCAAGAAAAAGTATAAACACAGCTGTGTATATTTGTGCCTCTATTCGCTGGTTGTAAATAAAATTCTACTGAATTAATATAAATATATGTCATGATATTCATGATTTCCAGACAATAATGGATTACCTTTTCATCAATACTGAATAAATCTGAATACATTGGATGTCACTGTAATTAATGTCTAATCAATGCGGTTTGGTCTGCTCGGACTTCCCCATCCACTCCTGTCTTCTCCTGATTGCTCTCTGGAAGATAAGTGGTGCTGAGGGAGGAGGAGAGAGGGAGAGAGAGAGAGGAGGAGGAGAGAGGAGGAGGAGGAGGAGAGGAGAGGAGAAGACGGGAGAGAGAGAGGAGAGAGAGAGCAGATGGAGGAAAGAAACTGATGATGGAACAAAATGTACCTGGAAAACTTTCCTGAATCCATCCTAAACTCCTCCAACACGTCCTGGGTGCTCGACTGCTTGGAGGGGGGAAAAAGGGATGGAGGTGATTAGGCTGTTCAGTGGTGTGTGGTTTTGTGTGTGTGTGTGTGTGTGTTGGTGTTTTGGTGTGTGTGTGTGTGGTGTGTGTGTTTGTTGTGTTTGTGTGTGTGTTTCTTGTGTGTGGTGTGTGTGTTTGTGTGTGTGGTTGTGTTTGTTGTGTGTTTGTGTGTGTGTTTGTGTTTTTGTGGTGTTTGTGTTTTTGGTGTGGTTGGTGGGTGTGTTTGTGTTTGGTGCTGTGTTTGTGTGTGTTTGTTTTTGTGTGTGTGTGTTTTGTGTGTTGTGTGTGTGTTGGTGTTTTGTTTTTTCGTGTTGTGTTTTTGTGTGTGCTGTCGTGTGTGTTGTGTTTTTTTTGTTTTTGTGTTTTTGTGTGTGTATGAGTTAGGCTTACATATTGGACAGCGTGACTTGAGTGACAGAGGGGATGTAGCTCAGGGTGTGCAGTGTGTCCTGGGTGAGGTGTGGCACAGTGCCCAGGTGTGTGTACAGCAGACACCCCGGCACCTCCACACAGTGCTGCCCCGTCCTGCCGAGCCCCTTCAGGACACCCAGCCGACTTCTCCCCTGAACCACCCGCGACAGCTCCAGCTTCATCCTGCCGCCAGCCATACGAGTGTACGACACCTAAAAACAGCCAGTCACAGTGACAGCGACACGCAGAGAGCAGAAAGAGCATGGGGAATTAGCCACGTCAGCTAACTAGCATCGCCGCTCACGTGTTACTTTACTCAAGCCCGCGTCACATTTTTAGTGTTAAATATTCTCTGCTCTTCACTCAGAAAAACACACGTACGCTTTCACAGTTGTTTGTGATTTTAAGATGTTTAATTCGCTTACCGACAAAAACCGGCTGCCCGACAGGAACTACAAGTCGTGTGAATATGTCGTCATCACCGGCCGCCGCGGCACTCGGAGAGGAGAAAACTACATCTTCCCTCCCTTTTTTGATTAAAACACCGATTTGTTGTGTTGTGCTTTACGCAAACCATAAAACAACTAGTGTTATCTGACATCTTTGATTTTACTTGTTTGTAGTTTACTTGTTTTAGTCCATTTTAAACTCGATTTTGGCTCATTTAGAAGTGAACGACGTTGCTATGGTTACCAGAGAGAGCAAGGTCCGGTGGGACACGTAGTTCAGAAAAGCTTCGCTGACGAGGCGACTAGCTAAGAAAACGTTTAAATCTACTACATTACCCAGAATCCTATCTGATTGAAATTGATGGCAGCTCTGTGTACAGGTGTTTTTTTTTTTTTTTGCGAGGGCTCTTTGTACCGAAGCCTTTTTGTGCATAATATACATTTGAAATAGTTCGCTTTTGTAGTTGGTTGAAGAGGACACCGTAGTATTTAATTGGGGTTACATTATAGTAGCAGAGGTAAAGGACTACAACCAAGGTAATTATGACGTTCCCAGGTCACAACCCTCACCTGTTTAGGTGGAGGAGGCTCGGCAAGAATAACATAAATAAGGTAAGTTTAGTGTTTGGACTGAGAGCTATACTGCTCCTATAATAATTGGAAAAAGGTAGTAAACTGTGGCTGCGTATTCTAGATAAAAAAAAAAAAAATCCAAGGTACCATATCTGAAGGGAAAACATTCAATATTTTTTCTGTACATTTTTACTTTTCCAGACCATTCCTCCAGGATTATCAAATCCCCTAGAGAGGTAACACATACCTGTAAAAAAGGCATTGGATTTATGAATGAAGAAGCAGCACATCAGGGTTACTACTATTTATGAAGGCATGGCTCATGTCAGGGGACGGTTAAATGTCAAACAGATGGCCTTTCTCAGATACTCACATGCCTGCAGCCTGAGACGGAGATAGCTGACTTTTTAAGACGCCTGGGGAATGATTTTGAAGTAATCTGCTGATTTAAGCCAATGCCTGAGCTTTTCCTGTGAAATGATCCACAGTTTGTAATTTTCAAGCAGGCGAAGGTGAACATGACACCAGCGTTTTCACGGTCTCTCTTGCAAACAGCTTACACTTGTTTTTTTCTTTCATGAACAGACGCAGGTGAAGGATGGTGATATCGATCAGTGGAGGAAGGTGAGGAGGAAGAACGTGCTGGTGCTTTCATAATTCATGATTTTATTCCGCTGTAAACTGAATTCCTTTGGGTTGTTGATTCTTGGTAAACTAAGCAACCAGTTATCCTAATTCCCAGCATTTTCTGCCAGTCACAGAATAAACAATGAGACCAAATAATCATCACATTAATTGATAATAACTGGTTCATCCGTACATCTGTTTGGCTGTTTCCTCAGCGAGTTGAGACGGCTTCCGAGTTTGCTGTATCTGAAGTCTTCTCCCACAAGAAACCTCACTCAGAAACAAACAGCCTATCGGTAGCTTTGCAAAGCTCTGACCAGCTCAGAGACCACGATGACGCTTATAGCGAAGGTAGGTCAGCATATAAAAAAATACGAGGTGTCTCTAGAGAAGCGCTACCTATATAATATTGAGTTAAGCCAGTGCAGCTGCAGGCTGAACAGTGATATGTGTGTGGATGCCTTCTTGCAGCTCAGGCTCTTCTTGGTGATTGGCTGAACAGTAAATTGCGTCTGGAGCTGGAGATGGAGGAGGAAGATGACTTGATGTGCTCCGCTGAGAGAAGAAGGCCTGTTCCGTCGGCTAGTGCTCGACCCACCGCCCTGAGCTACAGCAACTTTGATGGTAAAAAAAAAACAAGAAACTGTGTTACCTATCCACGTAACCACAGGCTCAGTATTTTAAATAATCAAGACCAGCTTAAATTTGACTTCCCTGGCCATAATGGGAATAAGGAGGTTTACATTAGACGTCACAAGCCAAAATAAATAATGGACTAATGAATCAAAGCTAGGAGGTTGATGCAGAACATCTTTAAAGGAGTAGTTCACCTCAAAGGAACAATCAGTCATTATTATGTAACCCTTAACTCAACAGGTCAGTGTCCTCCTTCTTCCAACCCAAGGCATGTTGATTGGCATTCACGAATTTTCATTTTTGGGGATCATCTACTCTTAAGATTGAATCAAGATTAAAATTGTTGTACAATATGTATTTATACAAGGTATATAAAATATGTTATTGGGTCACACAAAAAGCAACATAAGCGTGACTTTCGATGTCTCATTTTGACCAAAACCTAAACGAATTTAAATGTAAGTCACTTTCTACCAACTGCTTACTATAGTCATACGCTCCAGGTAACATTGTTATTAACAGACCATGCCCGTGGTTTTGCATATTTTAACGCATTAACTACAGATTATTTAATCTACACTCTCACCATTTTTTACAAAGATTATCATAGGTTTTACATTTTTAGATTAGAAATTTATCATAGTGAATATTTTATTAACTTTCCTTTCGTCAAAGTTATGTTATAGTGTATTAATGCAGTTGTGACTCAGGACATTTTCTTTTGTTCTCTTGTTTGTTGGTGCATTTATAGCTTCAAATTCAAGACTTGAAAGCCAAACAGCAATATTTTCAACCCAAGAGGCTACCAAATGTCATGTCTTTTGGTATTTTGTGTTTTATAATCCCCTTCAACAGAACTTGTGAATGCAATGGTTTCCTAAGTGACTTCTTAATGTTAGATGTTTCCCTAAAGGCAGAGAAATCAACCTCAAACCTAATTGTATACTTACGCAAGACGGTCAGCGGCAATTTAAAGTGTACAGATGATTTTGAGTTAATGGAACAAAACGTATACAATTACTGGTACGATTCTTTTAAAAACTCCTCCTCAGTTGTGATATAATACTTCTCTTTCCAACACTTAGAGCTGTACAACTGCCTGGCTGAGGAGGAAGAGCACAGCGCTGTTAACAGCTTCCTACAAGACCTGATGGAGCAAGAGGTGTTGGACTCTGGGGTCATGGAGGAACTGGCGCTGGATGTTGGACAAACAAGAAAGAAGTTCAGAGACCCAGTGGTCACCATGGAAGCACGACACCTGCAGGTATGTAACCAAAGTGAGTGCTGTGGTTTGGGAATCTCACATCAAGCGAATCAACAAGAAGCATGGGCACCCGAGTTTTGTTCTCAATTACACTAATTGCTGCTGATTGCCACTGAAGGTGCGGGAGAACAGAGCGCGGCGGGAGGCTGAGAGGCAGAGGCAACATAGGGAGAGGGAGGCTCAGCGGGGTGTCAAAGAGGAAGCAAAGCGGAGGGAGCGGGAGGAGGAGATAAGGAAGAAGCAGGAGGCACGGAGGCAGGAGGAGATGGTGCAGCAGGAGATGGTGAGACTGCGCCGTCAGATGGAGGAGAGGAGAGGCCTGGAACAACTGGTTCGACAGAGGTATGGTATCCACAGAAACCACTCGCCTCTGTTGAAGTGGTTACGACTATCACCTATATCTGAAATGACCCTTCTGTCTGATTACATCTAATGTGATCTTGTCTGCTCCACGTTCCTATAGTGGATTGGATGGATTAATGGTGACCTAGTGGGTCTGTGATAAGGCAGCTCCCTGACCCAAACAACTATTATTGAAGTGTCCCTGGAGAGAATATATAAGCCTCTGGCCAGCATGATGACACTGTTGTGTAATCTCTCCCAGTGTGTATAGCAGCTTTTCTTTATCACAACTGTCCTGAGGTTACTTTCATCATGAACATCCTTTGATCAAAGCAGTAGGAGTAAAGACTTAAAGGTTAAAGAGACGATAAACAAAACAATATTCTCCATTCAATACAAACTCATGAATATATTACAAGTTCAAATGTTGAATGCCCAAAGGCAAAAATGGTAGCACACACACAGATTTCCGGGACAAAGCTGACTAATCTAAATTTCACCAATTTATTCTGGCCATGTCAAACAAACATGCACAACGTTTCAGCGTTGGAAGAAAATGTCATGTCCTTTATATACAAGAGTTGGCAGGTGATTGGCTTAAAGGGTCACATGGTCACATTTATTTATTTTTTACCAATGGACAATGACCAAAAGTAAGTGAACACTTTATTTATCCCCGAAGGGAAATTATAACGCCGTAGCAGCTGAGTTAAGAGTTTGTCTTTGCCACATTCAGCTGCAGGTGGTTC